ATCTAAGCATTTGGCACCACTCATCTAGCCTCATCTCAACTTCACTCTTCTCATGCGGACTAAACTCGTCGTGCATGTATTCTGTCGTACTTCTATTCATCCTAAAACCCGTATCTAACTGCTTCCCCATTGATCAAGCTTCTGGTTGACATCCCTGTTGGTTTCAGCAATCAACACTTTTGTCAGCAAATACACCCCATAGAACCATCTTGTATTTTGGTGGTTAGCTCATTCATAACTAGGTAAACAAGTAGGGACTCAATATCAATCTCTGTTATAGACTCAATGTTATAGGAATTCTTTTTTGTATCTCCTACTATTTTCACACTAGTAACAACTTCTTTATACATGTCCTTTATGGCCTTAAGATATTTAATATGGACTATTTTCTTTTCCATCACCCACCAAAGGACCAGAGGACCTTTCATGGTACTTTATCATATGTTTTCTCTCGATGACACCATGTTTAGATCTTTCTTGATAAATTTTGATCAATCTTCTTAGCAGAAATATAGCCTTTGTTGTAGATATACCATGCATAAGTCCATATTGGTTCTCTGTTTAGGACATACTAACTCTATATTTAAGTAGCAAAATCAAGCAAACTTCTTCCAAATCAGAATAGAGGCAAATTCGGACAAACAGTATCAAATTTCAACCGACGACATATAGTTCTATTGCTTCCAAACTAAGGTCAGTCAATAGTTGAGGCAAGTGACACTATTTTCTTGCAGAAACCACATTTTGACATTTCTTGAATCAATTATGTGGTGTTTGTTTGTGGACTTGACTTGCAAATAAAGAGATTTAAGCTTGCATGTCAACTTTAATTCATGAAACTGAGAACGCAATTGTAACTTAAACTTGAATAAATTTTTTCAAGTTGAAGGCATATTTCGAGTAAGTTTTCACAAATATTCAACTTCCACTCATGGATTTCATATTTGAACGAAACAATTCAAACAAAAACTTCAACTTTGAATTTAAATATGTTTCTGAAGGAACCTTAAGTTCATGGAGTCAATTGAGCCAGAAGTTTGATATGACATGTATGACCTTAACTAGCTTATTTGAAACATTAGAAATAATATGTCAAAGAACTAAATCATTCGAAGTAACAGCCAAGGTGAAATGAAGATACCCTTTCAGCAAGAATACGTGCTTTGTTAGGAGCACCAATACCAACTGCAATTAGCTTTACACCAGCAGAATCAAATCTCTCCTTTGTCTCTTTGAGTGCTTTAGCAAGTTCCCAGCTAACAAACAGCAATGCATATCGAACAAGAATATCAAAAACAAAAATTGTATATAAAACACCAAAACAAAAAGTCTTGATAGAAAAAGTGAGGTCATAATTTACCAGCAAGGACAGCCAAAATGCCTCAGAAGTGCAACAACAGCTACTCCCTGGTGAAGATAACGACCCAATAACAAAATGTAATTATGCTACCAGAAAACGTCGGTCAGCCATTTGAAATTCATGAAACGGAGATAGGTAGCTCCATGATAACATAGGCATCAAGCCCCATTTTTCCATTTAAACCATATATGCACCACCGAATTGTTTGCCTTAAGTTTCTAATCTTTCCTGCCCCTATTAAGTAAATTTCCATTTTTTTTCTTCTTTATTGTTTCAGTCAGCCTGGGCATACCTTAAATATGTACTAGTTATACTGTTATCTTTTTATTATTATTTAATTTTTAATGACCATGGTGTCCACCCTACCTTTAGCACACCTCAACTAATTCCACGAGATACTTGCACCTCCCACCAGCACCAGGTATACCACCTAGGCTAGTACAAATGAGAAGAACCACCTACTGTTTTTATTTCTAGATTTAATTTACGACATCAAGGCTCTCAACAACTTAATTAGTCACTTGTTGTATTGTTATAGTAAGAAAGGATTCTCTTTACAGTTTGTCCGAGTAATTGTTAAGTATTGTTTCATAATGTATCATATTATGTTATATTGTATCATACTGTATTGTTTTAAGATTGTATTGTTCTCCGTCATTACATAATGTCACACATCCATAATTTAACCAATAAACCTAATAGATAAGTAGGATACGTGGTTGAACTACTATGAAAAAGGTAGTATAAAAGATGAAATATAATTATTAAAATTGTTATCAACCTGTATTTATAAGGTTAACAAATAAACAGAAACAGAAATAAGATGAAGCAGAAAAAATACAAAATAATTCGAGTCCATAGAAACTACCGTGTCTCCTTAAGAAATTTAATCCCACTGTACACGAGGTTATGGATTAATTTCTCCCAAGATAAAATGGATTAATCCTGTTAAAGAAATAGCGGTACCTCAAACTTCTTTAACTTCAGCGAACTTAAGAACAACAACAAGTCACACAGACTCAGTCGATCGACACTTTGATTTTGAGAGAAAAATATATGCAGAGAAGGAAAATTTCAGTGTTTGAAAAAACGAAAAATGACTTCCTTTTATAGTCATTTTTAGCAAGAAACGTGTCTGTTCAGAAAAATGTGTTCAGACCCGTTTTTTCGGAAAATGAGTCTGTTAGGAAATAACGACTTTTCGAAAAGAGTAATAACTTTTTGAAATGTTACTGTAATCAGCGAATTAATTCCGTTAATTAACTAATTAACTAACGATCTAAATTAATTTATAAGAGATAATATTAACAGAATTTATTTGATTAACAAAAATTGATTCAATCACACGAATTAATTCTGTTAATTAACTAACGTTCTAAATTAATTTAAGAGATAATATTTAATAGAATTTATTTGATTAACAAAGATTGTTTCAATCACATCATTTTTGCCGAACTTAGCTCTTTAAGAAGTAAAGGAAGTGTTTCCTCTTTATATAAGGACAACAATTTTCCTTTCTTTTGCCGATATAAGAGAAATGACTTTTCATTTGCAAAATTTTCATTTTCACTCCAAAATAGTTCCCTCACTTTTCATATCACTCTTTTCTTTTCCCATTTACACTTGCTAAACCCAACAAAAATAATTTTAAATAAGGGATCACACCAAATTCGATCATTACGTAAAATGAATCTTGAAATTAAATCAAAAGATAAAATAGATACTTAAAAACATTGTATTTAAACTAACAATACAATACCGTACTGCGTTAACAACCATCCAAACAAGGTGTTAGCAATCCAGAAATTTGCACAGCACATTAAAACAAATAGTTGGGAAGATGAAAAGAAAAATCCCCAAAAATAGGAAATTGAGTTGTTAGAATTGTGAAATAGCAATACCTCATTTTGATCCCAAAGGTCCTCAAACTTGACGGACTGACCAGTAGCAGTGAAAATTGAAACATCTGCTAGTACATCACCAATGTCTTGAGCAAAGGCAGCGGTGGAAGCAGCAGCTTTAGGCACAAAACTAGAAATTCGTTTTGGTGTAGTGGCGGTGAGAGGAATAGCAGAGGAAGGGAAAGGGTGAAGAAACTTGAAGGTGTTGGGAGTGGGAGAGAAGGAACAAAAAGAAGGAAATTTTGTAGCAAATGTTAGGCTACTCTGCTGGAGAGATTCCATGGTTGCAGATTGCAAGTGGGTTGAAATGAAAATTTGTGGAAGAAAAAATTGGCAACTTCTTAGCCCAATTTTTCTAGCTAAGAGTATTTGATCAAAATATAACCATCCATTATTATTTTTATTTTCGTGGCTTTATTACGTTTAGACTAGACTAAATTTATCATTCCAAAATCAAAGATATAAAAGGTTGTTATCAAAATAAGTCATAAATAAAATAATACATGGATTATCCCTAAATATGAAAAATTGCAAGTTAAAAGTATTTTTAATTATGATAACTTTTGTTAGGTAAAATTAAATTTGTTCATTGATGTTATGCATAGGTTAAAAGTATTATTAACTATGACTATTTTCGTTAGGTAAAATTAAATTCATTCATTTATATTACGTGTGGTATAACTTTGTGTTACTATTTTTTTGTATTTAGGCATAACTTGAGTCACTTAACTTATGTTTTGGGCTTAATTTTTTTTGCCTTCAAATATAATGTGTCACTAAGCTTATGCCTTGGAGTATTACTAGTGTCTTAACGTAATTTCCTTTTTGTCTTAAGACATAATTTATATCACTGAATATATACCTTATGAAAAAAAATAAGTTAAGATTTTTTATTTTATTTTTTCGCTAATGACAATTTCAATTATTATTTTTATTCAAAGCTTTGAAGGAAAAAAATTTGAACATCAATATTTTAAGTGGTCACAATTAAAGACTACTCCAAAATAGGGGCATTAGTGCGATGGATCCCAAAAAAATAATCATAAAAAAATATAATATAAGGTTTTTTTATTAAAAAAAATTATATAGTTTTAAAGTTAGATTTCAATGCACATGGATTATATTCTTATTACATAATTTCGCAATCTCTCTTTTTTGAATTATTCATATCTAAGATGCAATTGTTATAATTATGCAAATATTTAACTGACGAGTGATTAACAAGATAACATTATATAAATTCTGTGCTTTCATGGCAATCGTGGTCCGCTTCACTTATGCAATAGATGGTAGTGTTATAAAAAAAATATGCTTCTCGAGGATTTAGTTATTACAATCGTCAAGAAATTGAGGATAGACAGATGTAGAAAAAATGTAGCAATAAAGTATTAAGTTAAAAGTAACTGTGCTCCAATTAAAAAGTTCGTAACTGTTAGCACGTTGGATTGAAGAAACAACGCAAGGACTTAAAATCTGTATCTTATTAGTATTATATAAATAACTTTATAATGGAAAGAAAGTTGAATGAAAAAAGATTCGTAAGAAATGTATCAGGTATCAAATAATATAAAACGAAGATAGTATCGATAAAACTAACTGAAGTAGACAATGTTTTCAACCAAAACCATGATCATACTCAATATAGAATGTAGAAATCAAATACAACAACTAAAAAACAGAGACAATACACTTTGAGATACAACATACACTGCTAAAATTCATCGCTCAACAACCCTGAACTAAGTTATAACCAAAATCCAAGGACCATTCAGTATGTCCCCACACAAAGTAAGACATAAGCTAACAACAACAGAATACAGGGAACTCACACACCTATAAACTTCAACACTCTTCTCCAAAACCTCCTCATTCATAAATTCAACATATCTTTTCAAACACTTCCACAACTTCTCCACAAAAGATCTAACACACTCAAAAACAACTCTCCCACTCAAATCAAGAATATACTTTTTACTCATTGGCACAGTTAAAGCAGTACTAGTTGACACTTTATCATCCATTTCTGTACTTGTCAAAATTTGATGAGAAGTTTTGACAAATGTTTCTGTTGCACCATTACATAAGGTCACCAACATTTCTCTCATTTTCGCTTCATTCTTCGGATTTGTCAAACCAGAAAAGATTTCATTGTAAGTGTTGATATTCATTGTTTTGTCAAGATAAACAGCAACAAGAGTGCTCACAAATACTTGCACACAATTCCCTATCAGAGTATCAACATATTCAGGAGGAACAGAGTAACCCTGTTTAACAGAACAAAATGTAAGTACCAAATTCCTGGCGAAACTCCCAACAATTACAGAAGCAAAACCACACCCTGCATCAGAAAACAGTTTATTTAAAACCTTATCGAACAAATCAGAATCCAATTCCTCTGTTTCTTGATTACAACAACCTCGAAGAACTCCGATAGTTAAAGCACTAGTGACCTTAACAATTGACTCTGAAAACTCATCTGAATTAGTAATCTTGGAAATTTGCTTCAGACTTTTTGGAATTTGATCAGAATTTGATAACATAAACTCCTTTAGATCTTTAGAGAAAATCCCAATTACATCAGCAGAATCAGACGACATTTCAGCTAAAGAAACAACAGAATCAAGAAGCTTCAACAATCTTTCCCTCTTTTTAACCATAGATGGTGAGTAATAAGCTTTATATGCACCAAAACCAGAGTCACCAAGAGCTCCTAAAGCAACAAGCAAGTTCTTGTTTTTTTGAGTATACCCCATACCCTTTTTTATTTGTTTCATATTCATACAATTCAGAGCACAATCTCCTTAATTCTCAAGACTCAAACGGGGTTTGAAAAACAGATTGAATATAACTTGCTTAATGTAGAAGAATATGAACGGAGTTTTTTTACTTTTTTTTTTTTGCCTTTTTGGGTTCAGAGAAGCTAATCCGGTAGAAATTATACATGTACTATGAATCTTTTGATAAGAACGACTTAGATCAGGACAACTGCTGGGGTCTCTGCATCTTCATTCACTCTAAGCTTGCAGGTGTCCACATTTTTGTGAGCTAAAAAATATATATTTTACACGCGTGTTAAAAAATTAAAAGGATAATTTTATCGATTCAATTGTTGAGAATTTTTTTGAAACTTTATAAATAAGTATAAACACTTTTAAAAAGAATAAATACTTTTTTAATTCAATAAGGTGATCACCTAAGTGAGATAACTATTTTTAGTATAGTGATCAACTAATATAAAATAGAAATAATAATTTGATTTGGTAAAGAAATTAAAAAATAAAATTAATAATTTAAAATAAATTATAAATATTTAAGCTAATATTATCTCTTATTTATGAAAATAGATTTATTTTGATCTCTTAAATATAATTTTGAGCATATTTAATTTCTTTCACTTTACTAAAGTGGAGCATTTTTAAATATACTTTGAAGGATCAAAATAAACATGCTCTCATAAATAAAAGATAATTTTAGCCCAAAATAAACCAACTCTCAAGTTTAAAATATGTTTTTTAATAGACTATAAAAAAAAAACAGCGTAAACAATAATTTATACACGTTTTTCGTTTGGCCATAAATAATTCGGAAATTTTAAAAATAAAATTATTTAAGTTATGTTTTTAAAAATAAATATATTTTTTAAATTTGTGTTTGAACATGAATTTTTATATATTTATAAGTAAAAATAAAATTTCTCTCAAAATATTTGATAGATTTTTGAAGAATTTTTTTACAACTGATCTAGTAAATAACGAGAAAATGCGCTCCAATGCACTTGTAGATAAGCTGAGCGTATATCAAGTACGTACAATGTTGGATTTAGAGTGGGTTCAATTAAATTCACTATTTTCCTACTCGAACTACAATTTATTGAATTTAAATTTTAAATTCGCTTCTGAGCAAAGATATTAGAGAACTGTGTTGGTATCCATAGAAGTACTAAGTGTATCGGGGCTCAAAAGAAGAGAGGAACACCACACGAAAGGAGGAGGAGATTGAGGTACGCCTAATGGAGTTGTGCCGCATGCTCCAAAAATAGTACCGTCCGGCACTGCAATTTGGGGTCCAACATATTTTTCTTCTGCGTGAATAATTGACTCATTAGGAATTTCGTCATTTGAAATCACCACTGAAGAGGAAGGAGGAAGAAACTCTCTCCATTGCCCACCATTAATATTATTGTTACTTGGTAATGAAGTTAATGAAAGATCACGAGCGGGAGGAGGAGGAGCCACCTATTCATGAAAATTAAACCTAATTAATAATTAGTTAAAATAGCTAGTAATGTTTTCTAATTTATGCGGTAAATCAAATTTACACTACTTAATTACTCATCATAGTTATAAGGCGAAATGGTCTAGTAAATTCTTATATATGTATTTATTTGTATTCTCGATTTTTCTACTTATTCTTTTGTCAACTGAATTCTTGAACCCATCTAAACACAATATTTTAAACACAATTTTAACGTAACATATATATGAATATTAATATGAAAGAACACTAAATTTAAAAGATTAATTAAAAAAAAAAAGGGAGAGAAGTCATCTTCTTCAAACATCCCTGCCCCCCCCCCTCCCCCTCCCATCCAAATCGCTGCCTCCATCCCAACCAAATTTCTTATATCCATTCCATTTCTTTTTTTCTTTCTTTGAATTTACCACCATTTCCTTGTTCTTCTTCTTTAACACCTCACATATTGTCCTTCCTCTAAATATTTTCTCAAAGTTTATCTTTTTGCTACAAATTATTTTTTATCGTAGTTCTTTTCGTTTTGTCATATTTATTTTTTAAAATCTCGATTTTGTGTATTTTTTTTGTGATTGTGGATATAAGGTATTGAAAAATGAAAACCTCCATTGGTAATTTGATGAAGCTTCAAGAATAACAAATGAGTTATGTGAATTTATGACTACATCGAGCTGTCATGGTGAAGATCTACAAAATCAAACCAACAAAGATACAATACAATCAACACACAAAAAAAAAAGATGAATAAAGTGAAGGAAAAATAAAAGAGAAGAAATTTGAAGAAAAAAATTAAAAAAGACAAGAGAAAAGCTCAAATTTTTCAAACAATGGTGTTGAGTGAAAATAAAGAAGAAAAGATGGTCTTTAAAGGTAAAAATTTGACTTTTTAAGGTGTTTCACGCTAGTTTTGTGTGTATCACACACTCCATGCGGAGTCTTTTCACATAGGATGTGACATAAAAAATTGTGTTTAAAAATAATGTGTTTGGATTAGTTCAGGGATCCAGATGATAAAAGGGTAAGTAGAAAGGTCCAAAATACAAATGGATACAAGTTTTAGGATCCATCGGACCATTTCGTCTAATTATAATTTGATATAATTACCACTCGCGACTAACATTATACATTAATTAATTAAGGGCTGACTTCGAGTTTGTATAATTTGTCACGTTTACATATGTATAATTCACCAAAATATACAAATATATGTATAATATACAATTATCTAATCAATATATATATACAATTCACCTCTCTCCTACTATATGCCCAATCTCGCTCGCCTCTCTCCCTCTTCCAATCTCTCTTTCTATATATACAAATGCATATGTATAATATACAATTATTTAACTAAAATACCTATACAATTCACCTCTCTCCCACCACTCTCTGCCCTCTCTCACTCGCCTCTCTCCCAATCTCGCTCACCTCTCTCCTCACTCTCCCAATCTTGCTCACTTCTCTCCTACCTCTCCCAATCTCACTCGCCTCTCTCCTCACTCTCTCATTCTCTCTTGCCATATATAGAAATACATATGTATAATATTCAATTATCTAATTCCCTATAACATGTAGCTGCGAATTGCAATTATCAAACTATAATTTTGAAGAATAATTAGGCTATTTTTGAGTGACTACATGTGAAAGTCCCCTTCATTTAATATGTAAGTTACTTTTTTAGGTCTGATCATACGATTCAAACATGATATTATACTGGATGCATATGTAAAGGGGAGTGCTTAAGATAATGCCTTAGCTGAAATGATCACACAATTCAATAGAGATGAGTAACCTCTGGTGAATGTGCGGGGATGGAGGTGGGATTGGAGTGAGATTGGAACTCTGGTGCAGCAGTTAACATTTGGACAACTTGTCTGAAATTAACAACTTCGACTCTATAGATTTTAGGAGGAATTGGTGGCGATGGAGCGATGGGCTTCTTGTTGATTAATCTTGATGGAAAGCTGCGAACTCTATGGAGAGAAGAAAGATATGGCTTTTCTTTCGTTTCTTCGTGTTGATCATGACCACCAAAAGAACTTGAAGAACTAGAGAAGGAAGAAGAAAATATTTTACTTGAATACGATTCCATTTTTCAGTTTGATATAAGTAGAATTTGTATTGTTAATTTTGTGGCCTTGTATATATAGTGAAAGTGGCTAACATAGTTGGGGGATTTTGTAAGAACAAAATATTAATTGTAGTAGTAATAGAAAGAAGGTTGTGAAGAAGATATTATTAAATGAAATGGAGGGAGGATGTAATGTGAAGTTTGTCTTGAGGCGTCGGCTATATATATGGATAGATGAAGTTGATCAAAGATAGCGGACACGTTTGGATTGATTTAAAAGTTGGTCAGATTTAATTTTTAATTAGTGTTTGACTTTTGAAAGTGTTCGACAAATATAAAATATATAATTAAAAAAAAATCAAAAATGAATTATAAATAAGTTAAAAAAACATTTTTCAAGATTGAAAATAATTTAAAATACGTTTAAAATGACTTAAAATAAGTCAAAAGTAAAAAGTATATCTATCTTACTTTTTACCTTTTTATTTTAAAATAATTTTAATTTGACTTTTTATTTTTGACTTAAAAATTATATTTTTTAAAATCAAGTTCAAACGAGCTCTTAGTCTTTAAATTATAAATAAATCCAATATTAATATACACTACTCAATTTTGACCTAATTTAAAAATTAATTTCTTTTTCTTCTTTCTAGTTATTTTCTTTATTTCAAATTACGTGATATTTTAATATTTCACTTTGTAATAAGATAGTGTTGAGTACAGTAAGGAAATATGAGAAATGAAGTGTTCCCCTATACTTTAGTAGAACATTCTTCTTCAGAAAAAGTTTAATTTTTAAATAAGAAAATGCTTCTACTTGTTATTAAAAAAATTGAGAAAAGGAATTTCTCGCACCATTGTCGATAGGCTACGACTATAACTATTTTCTTCTCTTTTGATATTATTTTTGACATGATACAAATTAATTTTTTTTTTACTAATTTTAACTTTTTGATTTTGAAAATTGATATTTGAATTCTTGTTTCTTGCAAAATTCTGTAAAGTTATTATTTCAAGTATCTTGAATCAAATAGATGATGATATTTTAGGATTGTAAAAAGGAACTGACTTTATTTTTAAAAAGTTATCCATGATACAAAATGATTAAATAGTGTTTTTTTTAAATTATTATTATTATGAGTAATAAAAAAATTAAGATATTCCTTATTTTTATAAAAATAAATAGTTTTTTCACTCCATCTAACTACACCATTAATTTTGATACTAATAAAGTATCTCTTTTTAAATGCTTGATGAGACTATGTGAGGACTAAGCTCAGCTACACGTACAATTCAGTCTAATCTGCTGATGAAGAATTTTAGCTAGGGATGTATAAAGAAAATCAGTATTCCGACTAAATTGATAATTCGAATTAAATTGAAAAAAACAAATCAATGATTAGTAATTTCATCTGACTATTTCTTTAAGCTTAGCTTAAGTTATAAGTAATAATTTTGACGTAATAAAATAATTCAACAATTTAACATCATCACTGCCATATGTAAATAGGACTACAAATGGACGGTCTGTTGAATTTGTTTATAATTCATTTTTACTTGTTTTATATTATAAAAATAGTTTTATTTTTATTTGTTATTTTAACGTATTAAGAAAAAGTAATTAGTTTTTTCATCTTTTACCTCTAGTATAGATATCTAATGCTAACCATTGATTGATATGAATATCATTATTAAATCATTACATCAATCATTATTTTAAAAATATATAAATTTAAAAATAAATGAATAGAATATAACAAAATACAATACTGTGCAGTGTGCAAAAGGACCGTCACACAGTCTATTCAAACCTTCATTTATGGAAATCCATATTCAATCTTATTTAAAAATTCAACCAAACAGAGTCATAGTTCTTGAGAAAGACGGAATTCTTCTAGAACTTAATTAATATCCTGAATTTTATTTTTTTTAATCATTCGGAATAACGTTTTCAATAGGATTTTCTTATATTCATAGCTCGAATTCGAAATCTCTGATAAAGGATAAATTACTTTCATCGATATACCACAATCCTTGTTGATAATATAATATTGTCTGACGCTAATTTAATTTGACGTCCATATTACATGTTTCTGTAAAAAAATTTATACATATATTTCACTCAAGGTAATTAATTTAGTATGTGACCAACTTATTTATCGATAATTACTAATTAAAACAGTAAGTACAAATTGGAAGAAAAAAACAATTGTATCAAATAACCTTTAAAAAAAAAACGCAAAAGGGTATATTTTGAAATAAATTAAATTAAATTGCAGATTATTATAGTGAAAAATTAATCAAATGCACAAAAAATACTCGATAAAGACTATAGTAAAAGTTATAGCAATCGCAAATTATATCCTTAAATCAAAAAATATTAAAGTTATCAAAACAATCTATATTTGAGTCAGGTTGCATCGTTCTTGGATTTATATAGTCTAACTACATACTGTCAATACTTGCAATCACTTTTGATATCAATTATTCCATCTATCTCTATTTATATGATATTATTTATTTTTTAAAATCAAAACTATGTAAATTTTGATTGACATTTTAAAATAGTGCTGTGATATTTTTTCATCCTATTGGATGACAATTTATACTATCTCCGTTTATTTTTAATTACAATAGTTTATTTTTTAAAATTACACGACAATAATTTTGACTAACATTTTATGATATATTTTTCATTATATTAATATGTAAAATATTGATATTTATAGTACTGTTTATATAATTTTTAAATATTCTATTTTTTATTTAAAATATTAAATTATTATAATTAAATTTAACTTTAAAAATAATTAAATTGACTTTTAAAAACTTTAATAAACGATCAGTTAAATATCTTTTAAAAAAAATATATATAATGTAAATTAATAGGATTGAAATAAAAGCTTATACTATAATATGCCTTAAATATCGTGACGTCTTGGGACGGATGGAGTGGTCATCTGCTTCTTGTTACGAATATTTAATTATCAAAATGTATTGACTGCCAAGAATTTGGAATTCAACAAAGCAGTACACTGAAGAACAAGAGTTTTGGTCTTTGAATAACAAACTCACTTGTAATAATTCAAAACAAAGACCAACTAGTACTGCCCAACTTGTTGCAAAGTCTTGAATCTTTCAAAGCTCATTATTGAAAGTCATACGTACTACTCCTCCGTTCAGAATTGTTTATTATATTGTATTTATTAAAAGTTAATTTGATTAATTTTTAAAAATAAATTAAATTATATTAATTCGATATTTTTTTAAACAAAAAAATTAGATATTCTAAAACTATATGAAAAATATTATAAATTATAATGTTTTGCATATTAATATAATAAAAAAATACATCTTAAAATGTTAGTCAACATTTTTATAGTTTGACTCTAAAAATAGAATTCCATGATAAATATTGCCGAAAGAAGAGAATAGTATATTATTTAGTTTTGACTACGAAAGCATTATATTAAAAGTAATTTATTAATTTTATATATAAAATAAAGAAATCATTTATCACTTAATTTTTAATTACAATTTTTCAAGACATTAAAGTTATTATATTCAAAGAGTAGAGTGATATAGAAAAATTGTCATTTTATTTACTACTCTTTAAGAGATATAACAAATTAATAATGGACAGACTACCATATATTTTTGAATTTTGTCTGCTTTAATTTTCTCGATTCTTTTTCTCTAATCCTATTTAGCTTTTTTTTTAAAAAAATAAAATAAAATAAATTGGAAAGACATATAAAAAGCTGAGGTAAAGTTTAATTTTTTTTACCTGTACTTTTTCCTTTTGAAAATATTGCTCATTTTTTTAAATTAAAGACATAATCACACGGTTGAGTGAAGTGAATTTGCTTAAATAAAACAACAAATTAATTAGATATTAATGCATCAAGGTGGAGGCATTAGTTGAGAAAATTATAGGTGTTGGTGCTCATGGACAATCCATCAATATTTTGTTTCAATAGAAAACAATACAGTATTTGAATTCTTCGTGAATTAATTATGAAAAAATATAATTAAAATGTTAATGCTACTAATTACTATAGTTGATACAAATTTTGAA